CGTGCGCCGACGGCCGCTCGTCGTGCTGGTTCGAGACGGAGGGCGACCTCCCGCGGCTGGCCGGGGAGGCGCTGCTGGCCGAGGCGGCCGCGACGGGCGCGAGGCGGATCGCCTTTGACGCCGTCGCGGCGCGTCTCGAGGCGACCGCGGCGCCGCCGCCGCCTCTCGGCACCGCCTTGGCCGCGTGGCCCACGGGATGGGGCATCGAGGAGGGCAACTTCTGCGGGCTGGCGCACTGGGCTGTGGAGGTGTGGCACGCGGCCGGGTCGGTCGACGCGAGCCGGTGGCAGGTCGAGGCTGACGGAGGGCGCCTCTTCTTTGTGCGGGTCGCGGAAAAGGCCGCATAATCGCGCTCTCCGCCGAGGCCCGCCTCGGCGACGGCGCTCGCCGCGCAGCAGCAGCAGTAGCAGCAGCAGCAGCAGCACGTGATTCTTGACACATGATTACACTACACAGTCCTCCCTTCGGTTGTCGTTTCGACCCTTTTTTTTCTTCTATCGCAGCGCACTCGCATCTGTGAGCCTAGCGCAGCGCGAACTCGCCGTCTGAGCCTAGCGCAGCGCGAACTCGCTCTGAGCCTAGCGCAGCGCCTCGGAAAACACCATTTTGGCTCGCCAACAAGCCCTCCGCGCCCCCACACCGTTAGGATAATGATTTTCAACGCGAGCAGGACCGAGGAGCCGTGCGGGATGACTGGGATCGTTGCCGCCGGCTCGAAGAAGAAATCGAAGACGAAATCGAAGAAATCGAAGAATCGAAGCTCGCGCATGCTCAGTGAGGGAGGGCGAGACGCATGCTGGCTGCCAGCTGGGCCCGCTGCCCCTGGACTCCCCGGGCGCCCGCTCTCGGCCTGGCCTGCCCCATCATCATGCAAGAGAGCAGCCCGCCGATTGACGCCGACCGCCGCAGCCGGTCCCCGGGACTGGCCAACAATTTCTATGATCTCTCGACCTCCGACTTCAAGCGGCCATACGGGGGAAGCTCGTACAGCGACGGTGATGGTGGCTGGGTTGACGAGACCTCGACAGACATTGTTGCCGACCCCCGCCGTAGCATCGACGACTCCGCCTATATTCGCCGCGGACGTGGCTGGCGGCCGCCGCTCGGAGGGCGCTGGGTACCTCAACCGGAGCCGTTCCCGTTCGACCCCGGCTTCGTTAGGGGCGGCTTGCGCGGAGAGCCATCGTTCTACGCCGGCGATCGCCTCTTCGACGACGGCCCGTACTTCAGCCCGTACGACTTTGACGACTACTTCGACGACCAGTACTTTGACGACCGCTCCCTTGACCGCCGCTTCCTTGACCGCCCTTTCTCCCTTGACCGCCCTTTCTCCCGCGAGCCCTTCGAGTACGACCGCTTCTTCGGGTACGACCCAGAGTATGACCGCGAGCCGTCCTACGACCGCTACCACGAGGGCGGCCGCTCCTGCGCACCACTCCCTCGACCTCCGAGCAGCGTCTCCTCACGCCGCTCGATGGGAATAGGCGGCTACGGGCGCGGCCTCGACGGCTTCCGCTCGCGGCAGTCCAGGAAGCTCCAGCAGCAGGCGGCGGACGGCGGCTACTTTGGAGCCCCCGACCGGATGCGAGACGCGGTTTCGCGCTGGCGGCGCGCCCGCCCGCATGTAGTCACAGCTATGCCCCCCTGTGCCCCTCATGGGCTTGCCTGGCCTTTTAAAATGGACTGGCTGCTTGGCATCCGTGAGAAAAAAACAGGTGCTTTGAAAACCGGTACCAAACTCGTGTGCGTTCTGCTGTGCCGGGTTGGGGAGGGGAGGAAAGACGCTTAGAGCGAGCGGAGTCGCAGGGGTAGCCAGTAGAGTGGGGACGAGAGCGTGTTTTTCTCAGCAGGGGACAGCAGGTGTGCGCGAAATTTTGCTTTTTGGTTCCGCGGTTTTGCCACTAACATCAAAATCCGGTACAAATCGCACGAGAACGAAAAAGCAATATCATATCAAAAAGCAATATCACAAAAAATAACCATCCACATAATTCACCTCTCTCTCACTCTGCCCCTTCCCCTGCTTGGCACTCGCGTCCTCACTCGGCCTCAGCGCGCCACAGCGTGCGGCAGCACGTGCTCGCGCCACACGTCGGACAGCGCGCTCCAGTCCGGGCGCGCCTCGGCGTCGTCGGGCGGAGAGAGCGCGATCTGGTAGCCGATGCGCATGACCGTTACCGCGTACTCGCGCGCCGCCGCGGGGAAGAGCGAGTGGCTTGCCGGCGACCACGGCGCCGCCGCCCGCCGGATCAGCGCCGCCGCCTCGCCCTCGCCGCCCGCGGCGCGCTGCAGCGGCGTCGGCTCGCCCTCGTGCAGGCTTGCGCCGCTGCGCAGCAGGGAGAGAGCGCGGGCGGCGGTGAGGGTCTCAAGGTGCGCGAGCGGCGTCCAGCCGCGGCTGGCGACCAGCCAGGCGGCGAGGTCGGCGTGGCCACGGTTGTTTGCCATTTCCTCGGGCGTGCCGAATGGCGTAGCGGCGCGGGAGGCGCCGTAGGAGGAGAGGAGCTTGGCGACCTCGAGGTGGCCATTCAGGCACGCCGCGAACAGCGGCGTGGCGCCTTGGAACTGGGCTTGGTCCATCGCAGCGCCCGCCTCGAGGAGCAGCCGGGCGATGTCGAGGTGGCCCTTCTGGCACGCCATGTACAGCGGCGTGACGCCGTTGTCGCGGGCTTGGCTGACCGCCGCGCCGGCCTCGAGGAGCAGCCGGGCGATCTCGAGGTGGGCGAAGTGGCACGCGATTTGCAGCGGCGTGACGCCGCCATTCATCGCTTGGTTGATCGCCGCGCCCGCCTCGAGAAGCAGCCGGACGCACTCGACGTGGCCCTCCTGGCACGCGATGTGCAGCGGCGTGAAGCTGCCAGCCGCGGCTTGGTTGACCGCCGCGCTTGCCTCGAGAAGCAGCCGGATCATGTCGACGTGGCCCTGCCGGCACGCAATGATCAGCGGCGTGACGCCTTGCTCGTCGGCTTGGTCGATCGCCGCGCTGGCCTCGAGGAGCAGCCGGGCGACGTCGAGGTGGCCGCTATGGCACGCGATGAACAGCGGCGTGACGCCGTCCTCTGCGGCTTGGTTGACCGCCGCGCCGGCCTCGAGGAGCTGCCGGGCGACGTCGAGGTGGCCCTTCTGGCACGCGATGTACAGCGGTGTGAAGCCGCCAGCCGCGGCCTGGCTGACCACCGCGCTGGCCTCGAGGAGCAGCCGGGCGACGTCGAGGTGGCCCCGAGCGCACGCGATGTACAGCGGCGTGAAGCCGTCCGCTGCGGCTTGGCCGACCGCCGCGCCGGCCTCGAGGAGCAGCTGGGCGCACTCGAGGTGGCCCATCCGGCACGCCATGAAGAGCGGCGTGACGCCATCGTCACGGGCTTGGTTGACCGAAGCGCCGGCGTCGCGCAGCAGGCGAACGATATCGAGGTGGCCCTGGATGCACGCTATGAGCAGCGGCGTGGCGCCGTCCTCTGCGGCCTGGCTGACCGCAGCGCCCGCCTCGAGAAGCAGCAGGGCGCACTCGAGGCATCCCTTCCAGCACGCAACGAGGAGAGCGGAAGCGCCGCCGCCCGTCGTCGCCCCGACGCTCGCGCCAGCCTCGAGCAGCAGCCGCACCGCCTCGGCCTGCCCGTGCCGAGCCGCCCAAGTTAGCAGCGTGTCTTGCTTCTCGGTGTCGAGCCGCGCGTCGAGACTGCCGCGCGTCCGCCGGCCGGAGAGGTGGGCGTGCAGCGAGGCGAGGTCGGCGGCGGCGATGTCGGCGAGCAGCGTGGCGGGCGGGCTCGCGGCGGGCGCCATCACCGAGGCTTAGCGGGTTCGAGCCGTCACACATTGGCTGCCGGGGTGTGCCGAGGGGGGGCTGGGTGGGCGGTAGGCCGTCATTGCCCGGCGCTGCTTGCAGCGCTCTGGGTGGTAGTGGCGGCGCTCCAAGAGTGGTGCTCTTGGGAAGAGGTTCCTCCTTTCCGCTCCCCCCCCGCAAGGCGCGAGACACACACAGCGGTCAAAAGGTACCTATAAAAAGGTACCTGCCGTCCGTACCGGCTAACCTCGAAATGTGCACCTTGGATGGCTGCGCTCCCTGTTTCACAGCCATCCGTGCTAAGGATGGCTGTGAAACAGGGAGCGCAGCCATCCAAGGTGCACATTTCGAGGTTAGCCGGTACGGACGGCAGGTACCTTTTTATAGGTACCTTTTGA